TTTTTTTTTTTTTTTTTTTTTTTTTTGATTGATCGTTTTCTGAAAAACATCAGCACAGCACAGGACAGTACTACCCACCCTAAATGTGTCACTATATACATTCTACATAAGCTCTATAGCAATCACATGTAAACATCATCATCATCATCATCATCGTGAGGAAATACTAGGACAGAAAAAGGCAAAGCTACAATGAGGCAATTGCCAATAGCAGATGCTCAGTCTCGGCCAGAGCTGCTCGTGTTTGCTGAGGTGGGATGAGAACAGGGGGGATTTTGGGGCGGGAGAGAGGCCGGGTTTCAGTGCTGGGGCTGAAGTGGCACAAGGCCGGTTCCCCGGCAGTGACGGTCACCGTGGGGACCCCGCGCCGGCCTCCGGGCCCTGGCGCTGCCGGGCTGGGTGTTGTCAGAACCGCGGCTCTCCCGAGGGGAACAGCCAGGGAACTGTGCTGGTGTCGGCATTGCTGCTCCTGCCAGAGCCCAGCTGCGCTCCGGCCCCGAGCCTCGGCCCACCCTGGCGGGGCAGGGCTCCGGCCCCCGGCACCTCGTCCCGTTCCCGAGGCTTCGGTCGCCCTCCCCGCAACGTGCCCGGGGAACCGGGGATAAAACCCCCAAGTCATGGCGAGGGGAGACCCCAGGAGACTCTAATCTATCTATTGGCAGAGTTAAGGCTATAATATTCTATCTACAGAGGATGGCTGAATCCCTAGTGGTCTCTGGGGCTCAAAAATAAAAGGAGAAGGTGGCAATGGCTTGAGGCGCAGCAAGATTCCCGCTCCCTTGGGAAAACAGTGCCTCTGGCCGGCTGGTGGTGGGCTTTGCTCCGGCTGGGGGAGAGCTGTGTCCCCATCTCACCCCACTCACACACGGAGGGCAAGTCCTCAAGTAAATCTGACACTTAAATCCAGCCCCGAGGGCCCTTGGCCAGAGGCAGAGCTGTGCCCCGGGGCGCTGGGACGGATCTGGGCTGCGGGTGGGTGCTGGGGCGTGTATGGCTTATCAGCTACGGGACAGGGTGTGGGTGGGGGTCCGGTGTGGGTGCTGTGCCCCCCAGCCTCTCTGCATTTGGGGCTGGAATTTGGGCTGTGTGTGGGGCTGGGCTTTGGGCTGTGTGTGGGGCTGGAATTTGGGATGAGTTTGGGGCTGGAATTTGGGATGAGTTTGGGGCTGGCTGCCCAGCAGAGAGCACAGCCAGGTCTTCTCGCCCCGCTTGCTTTGCAGGGTGTGGAAGCGAGCGAGGATCAAGCCCCAGGGCCTGGCCAGTCTCCCAGCCATCCAAGGAGCTGGAGAGGAGCCAGCTCCTCCACACGGACTGGAGACATCCATCCCCCAGCGGCTCAGGCCCGGCAGCCCCCAGCCCCTCTCTCCAAAGGCAGCAGGGGTGCAGCAGCGCTGGCTGCAGGTGCTGCATCCCTCTCCCACCCTCTGCAGCCTGCAAAGCCGCCCGGCCCAGGCTCCATCACCCACTGGGACCCAGCTCAGCACTGAGGGGCTCGGGCCACTCCAGCACAAAGAATGGCTTTGACAGCAAAGTGGGTGACCCCAGGGCAAGCACCGAGCACCCCGGTTTGCCAGCAGGGGAATGTCAGCTCTGAGACTGCTCTGACCCCCCATTTGCTGAGTGGCAAGTGCCTCATTACAGTGCATAGTTAAAAATCAAGGAAGCGGTACAATAAATCTGAATTACAGTACATCTGAGCCATAAATACATTTCTTTTTTTTTTTTTAAGTATATACTTTTTTTTTTCTTCTTCTATTAAAAATTAGTTTATAATCCTGATTCTATTCACAATGAACAATTTCATCATCACACACTACGGACAAAAAAATGTTATGGTGAACACAGCTGCAACTCCACGGTGGGAGCGTGGGGAGGGCAGGGAGGGGGAAGAGGGGCCGGGGGGCTCCTAGGCTCACCCTAAAACAACCAGTCAGAAGCAGAGGGGGGACTAACGTGTGGCAGTGAGACATCAACACCATGGGGACTCACAGACAGAAGCAGCTTTGTTCAATGTAAACATCGATCAGGGGACAGCAGTCTCTCTCTCGCGGGCGTGCTCTCGCTCTCTCTCGCTCTCTCGCTTGCCATAGACTGAATAATTTCTTTGAAAACGTAAACATATTGGAAGTGCCTTGACTGAGGTATTGAGGTATTCCTCCAAGGTTAAGGCTGTTACCGATGCAGGCTGAGCTGGGCCTCCTGCAGCAAGCTGTCGAAATCCATGGTCTCGTACTTGCTTTTCACCGGAGCCGGGGAGGACTCGTCCGTGCCGCAATCTGGGGATGGCAGGGACAGAAGGCAGCCGGGTCAGGGAGTGGGGGATCAGCATCCTCTCTGCCTCATGGGGAGGGAAACTGAGGCACAGCAGGGCACTGCTCACTGCCCTGCTACTGCACAGCCAGGCTGGACACAGCGCTGGTGGTGACGGGACTGGGGACACCAAAAAGAGCTTGGGCAGAGGGGCTGCAGCCAAGCGCAGCTGGGCAGGGCACACACAGCTGACATTCACTGCCAGGGGTGAAAAAATCAGCTGGGTGCAGCTAAATTTGGAGGGGATGACACAGGGCCATCCCATGGGAGCTGTGCTGGTGGCAGAGCCAGCCTGCTCCACTGCCAGCCCTGTGCCAGGAGCTGAACACAGAGTGCCCTTGGAAAACCCAGGGAATTCAGCACCTAGCAGAACTAAGGCTGCCTAATTTCACAGCAGCTTAACATTTTGGTGTATATTTTTGAATGGTGTGGTTGCATTTCACCTCTGCCTGGGGCCTCCCCTTCTTATCCTGTACCAGGATGAGCAGGAATTTAGGAATGAGCCGGGCTGTGCGGGAAGGAGGTGACTACTGGTGGCTCTGAAGAAATCAGGTGAGGAGAACTGAGGGGGCTTCTCTTAGGCAGGGGGGGCAGCTCTGGCCCCCTCCCCACAGCACTGCACAGTCACCAGCTTCCTCATGGGCTGCTACCCGGCTCCTAATTTCTCTGTGCCCAAAATGGAAGGCTCTGGGATTTATTTAGATGAACAATGGACCTTTTGCCCACAATCAAAGTCAAGGCATGGCTGCTCTAAGCAGAGAACATAGTGCAAGGTGATAAAAAAACAGGGAGTACTCGTAGGTAAGTACTTGGAGGTAAGCCAAGACTTGGGGGTTTATTTCCTTGAAGTCTTTCACCCATCAAGTGGGACCCAGAACCCTTCAGCCCCTGCAGTGGGTACAGAAATAAACATGCAGTGTTGGTGAAACACCTGAAGCAAGGAGGGCTGGGCAAAGCCTGGGACACATTTCTCTTGCAGGACCATCCCAGGGTTTGGCTCCTGGCCCTCAGCTCAGGCTGCAGCCCTGGTGCCACAGTCACTGAGACCTTGCTGAAGCACTGAAAGGATTAATGCGACCACAGCACATTTCAGTGCAGTCACTTTGGCTCCAGACTGCATGTGCAGCGTGGCGGATCTGTCCTGCAGAGCAGCAAACCATCCACATCACCTCTTGGGCTAATGAAATGTTGCTGACTGCCTTTTCTAATGCCTGGGAAGGGAGTTTTCTGCTGGAAAGCCTCCAGCACTGTGCAGAAACTCAGCAGACACAGGATGGGCTGCGCTCAGCTGAGACCTGGCAGCCCCAGGCTGGGATGCTACATTTTGCAGCCAACACACCCTGAGGCCTCACATCAGTTTGTTTTTTCCCTTCTCCCCAATTTCCCAATCCACCTGTCTGAGCCACGAGGCACAGGAAAGCCAGGGGGCTTTTCCTGCAGGCTCTGAAGGCGTTTGGATTCCTGCGTGACCAGGGCTCAGCAGTGCAGTGTGCTCTAACAGCTCTGTGCTGATAAAAGAGACAAAGCAGCTGCTGCTTCCTCACCCAGGTCAGCGTATCTGGTCCAGAAGAAGCGGCCCAGGCCACCAGAGCTGAGCTGGAAGGAGGGCTCGTTCCTCTTCCTTAGCGAGGGGCCGTTCTTCAGCGATAAGGCGGCGTGCTCGGAATACCGGTACGTGATGAAGCCGTACTTCTCCCCCCTGAGCAACCACAGAAAGAATTCAAGATGTCATGAGCCCTTGTGATACAGCACTACACCCCTGGCCCATCATTCCTCCATCCCACAGATGCCCTTGGATCTCTGCACACGCCGAGTCTCTTTGACAAAAGCGCCAAGACCGAGGGCTCGGCTGACCCAGGGATCGATGTGGCGCTGCCTCGTGGTGCTGTGGGGTTTGGGGAGAGGAGCTGCCTGTAGCTGCTGGAGCCCTGGGAACAGCTCACTGCCCACCCACCTGTTAGTCCTGGACAGGACCTGACACTCCACGATTTCACCAAACACCTCGAAGCGTTTCTTCAGCTCGCTGGAGCTCATGCTGCTGGAGAGGTTTCTGATGTACACCACCCGGCCTTCCCCCTGCCAAAGCAACCAAAAGCTTTCAGGCTTGGACCCTGCACCTCTGTGCTGCTGCTGGGCTGTGGAGGAGCCCCTGCAAGCCAGCACTGGGAAGCACTGCCATGGACACAGCCTGCCGCCTCCAGGATCTGGCTGTCTCCGAGGTCACAGTGTCACCCCCAGGACAGCCATAACCGGGCTGGAGCAGCCACCGCTCCCTTCTTCTCTCTTAAAATTCTCCCACATTCTTCCAGCTCTCTCAGCTTCTCCTGGCAAATGTGGGATATATTCCCAAGAATTGCCAGGGGCAAAATCCAATTGCATTGCAGGAAAAGGTGCCAAAGCAGCATGTGTGAGTGTGAGTGTGTGTGTGCAGGGAGCACCGATTTACTCTGCCATGTGCCCACCCCTCTCCCAGCTCCCAGCGTGTGCCCACGGGTTCCCGGAGCACGAGGATGCAGCGGGGCCACATCTGTGACAGCTGAGCAGCTTCAGGGATTCCCCAGTTCACCCCACAAACTGCCAGTGCCAAGTGCACTGAGGCAGCAGCGTAGGATGCTCTGGGCATCCCTGTGCCAAGGGCTCCGTGTGCTGCCAATCGCTGGCGGCTTCGCTGCACGTTGGGTTTTCCTCTCTCCCCACCCCATGTCCTTGTTTAACACTGGCCTCGCACCAAGGGATGCTGAAGCCAGGGCTAATGGGCTCCAGTGCTGCTTTCTGGAGCAGGAGATGAGCCCAGGGCTGGGGTTGCTCTGTGAGGTCCCCGCTCACTTACGATGGCCTTTTCCCGTCTCTTCTTCAGCTGGCCCCGGTGCCCACTTCCACCCTGACACTGTTCGCCGTTCTCACACCTGCAAGGGAGGGACTGGGGGTCAGCTCGGGGCTGGAGGAGCTGCTGGGAAAGCTTCAAACATCACTGAGAACCTGAGACACCCACAGGAGTGGGTGGGCACTCGGGGGCACTGGGAGCCAAGGAGAGACTGGGGTCTGGAAACAGTGGACAGGGCACTGGGAAGGTTTTTCTCATCGATGCTAGGGTGTCCCAAGCCAGCACCTGTCCCTTCCCAGGCCTGGCTTGGGTGCCTGCCCACGCCCTGTCACCCACGGAACCCTCCCAGCTGCTTTGCTCTGCCAATGCTTCCTCAGGCCATGGCTGATGCAGCAGTGGCTGATGCAGTACCAATTATTTTAATAATTTTTCCTTCATTAATTAGCATCTTTACTGCTTGGGCCAGCAGAGCAGAGAGCACTGGGGCTGCCCTGCACCATGCTGAAAATTCAGGGGGCAAAAGCAGTCCCAATGTCCCCGTGCCCGCCGTACCTGAAGGTGCGTCTGCTGGCGGGTGACCGCGAGCGGCAGCACGAGGAGCCCGAGCTGGACCTGCTCCGGGAGCAGTAATGCAAACTGGTCCTGGAAAGGGGGTTTCTCCTCAGGCACAGCTCGGTGTTGCCATGCTCCTCCTCTTCCTCCTCCTCATCCTCCTCATCCTCCTCGACGGGGGAGCCGCTCTCACTGCAGCTGTCCTCAAAGACCGTGTCATACTCGGGGGTTTTGCAGAAGACCATGTCCTCCTCATCGAGGGCACTGTCCAGAAAGCCAAAGTGCTTTGTTAAGCTGGCTCTGATCTCCTGGTCTCTCAGCTGCTTCACGCCGTCCTTCCACAGCAGCTCAGCGCCCGTGTCCTTGCCCAGCTCCAGTCCCTGGTAGTGGGCGGCCGGGACCCTCCTCTTGTGCTCCGTCTCCACCTGGCTCGGGGGCTCCCACGACTTGAGCGCCTTCCTCTGCAGGGCAGCCTCGGGTTTCAGCACCTGGCAGTAGTCGTGGTCCCCAAAGGAGCGGGAGAAGGGCCTCTTGAGCAGGCCCTGCTGCTCGGGGAGCGCCCGCCCGCCCGCCCGGCTCAGGTGGGCGAACAGCTCCGTCCTCTCCGGGTGCTTCCTGGGGGCTTTCTGCGAGGCTGCCGCTTCCCCGGCGCCCCCGGGGCTCAGGGACATCCCGTCCTCCTTCCCTGGCTCCTGGGGGATGTCTGGCTTGTACAGGTCCTCCTCGGCGGGTTTGTATGGTGGAGTGGTGGGCGGTGTGAGACCTGAACCCCCCAAACAAAGGGCAGGAGTCAGCTCTGCCCCCTCTGTCCCTCCCCAGTCCTGGGCTGCACCCGCGGCCCCCACAGCCTCAGCCAGTGGCACTTGGGGGAACAAGAAGGATGCCTCGATCCCAGTAGGGACCAGAGGACTCTCCCTTCCCTCCTGGCTCATGCAGGGCCCCCCTGAACAGCTCCTCCCACCCCGAACACATTCCCCATAGCTTCTCAGGGTGCTGGGATGTGGCAGCACACAGGAGTCTCCTGTGTTAGCAGTGTGAAGGGGATGAAGGTGCCCCCTTGGCTGGGTAGGCTGGAAGTGATAACTCCAGGCTGAATTTAGGGTAAATGAGCCCCCTCCTAGAGTACAGTTCTGCAAAACTAAAAAATCCAAAGCCTGTCCTACCTGCTGTCCCACATAGCTCCACGGTCAGCATTGGCTCAAAGTTTCTCTTCCCAAAGGCTGGGTCACTGGAGAAGAGCAGAAAATCAGGAGAGTTTAGGTGAACCACCGTCCCAAAAGCCAAAGGAAAGCTGAGAAAACACTGCCCACAAGTGAACCCTCCCGCTTTGGCTGCTGCCTGACAGAGTCACCCCACAAGGGCAGTGGGGTGAGCAGCTCCAGGGCACACACCAAGTGTGTCTCTCCCAGCTCCTTGCACCCTGTGGCTCCCCACAGCCCCGTGCCCAGCAGTGCAGCTCCCTGTGCTCTGCAAACACAGCTCCCTGTGCTGGCTGCAGGGGCCCTGCCCAGCCACACAACCCCAGGCAGTTTCCAGCCCCACACTGGTTCACTCAGCCCCATGTGCACTTACGTTTGTGCCAAGGACAGTGTGAGACACCTGGGTGTTTCTGAAAGGCAGGAGAGAAGCAGGTTACCAGTGGAGCTGTGTCCCTGCAGCACCCACTGAGGGCTTTGCCCACCTGACAGGGACGGCTCACGCTGCCAGGGCTGAGCCATTCCTGCTCTTGCACTTTGCTGGGGTTTTGGGGCACCACTAAAGTTGAACCCCAGAGCCCAGACCCAGGGAAAACCCGCGGGGAAGAACCTGGAGGGATGGGGCAACCTGGTCCCTGCTGGGTTATGGCCACGCCAACTCCCACACCTCATTAAAGATGGGGAAACTGAGGCAGAAGATGCCCACGGATTGAAAAAGCACCCCAAAAGACAACAGAGCCCCACAGCCTGGCAGCACAGGGGGCTGTTCACAGCTCTCCTGCCAGCTGAGCACCCGGCCAGCATCACTTGCCCGTGGCCGGGATGGCACGGGCAGCACGGGCACGCTGGGGAGGGCGAGCAGAGACAGTCACAGCCCTCACCTGTTTGCTCCAGGAGGGCACAGCGCCGGCTCTCAGTGCCCACCTCGCCATCCCCCAGGGAGCCCAGGCAGAGGGGCTGCGGCTCCACCGATGGGGCTGTGCCCCCCACCTCCACTTCGGCCGCCGGCTCTTCGGCAGAGAAGCCCTCCAGCAGCGGAGGAGCGGCCTCGCTGCAGCCCAGGGCCACGGAGGACTCGGGGTGCGGCTCGTCAAGGAAGGAGAGCCAGTGCCCGAGCTCGGGGTTGAGTCTCTTGGAGCGGCGCACGGCGTAAACAGCGCTGTCCTGCCTGCGGGCCGCCTTCCCTGCTCCGGGGCCGCCCTCCTGCTTCCCAGCATCGTCCTCAAAGCCGCCCAGCTCCCGCGGTGCCTCCGCCTCGGGGCTGTGCCGGGGCTCGCCCTTCTCTGCCGCTGCTTTCCCTCTGGCCGTGCAAGTCCCACCGGCATCCTCGGCATCGGGCGGCGCGGGGGAGCAGGAGCCGGGCGGCCGTGCCAGGGCAGCGTACACGGGCTTGCCCAGGCGGTATGGCTTGCTCACATCGCACAGCAGGTCCCTCGCCAGCAGCTCCTTCAGGATGGAGAAGGATGCTCCGGGCTTCTTGCAGCCGCCGGCTGCCTGCCAGGCGCAGCCCGGCCGGCTCTGGGCGCTGCCCGGAGCGGGGGCACAGTCCGCTCTGGCTCTCTTGAAGGGGCTGCTGCAGGGCTGGGGATTGCTGTCGGGGGGCAGCTTGCGAGGGGGCAGGCAGTAGGTGTGCATGTAGCGGATCAGCTCCACCACCGAGTGCAGCTCCCCCTCGCAGGAGAACTGGCTGCCCGTGCCGTCCTCCGCCGAGGACAGGGCGGCCACCGAGTCGCCGGAGCTCAGCGAGTCCTCGCTGGAGTCACTGTCGTCCTCGTGATGGGCGCAGCTGCCCGGGGACGGGTGGTGGCCGCTGCCGGGGCACTCCTCGGGCGCCTGGGGGGCTTTGGTCTGGGAGCAGGAGGTGCTGGAGGTGAGGTGCCGGTGCAGCTCCGTGCAGCTGCGGCTCTGTGCCTGCGGGACGCTCGCCCTCCTGTCCCGGGGACCCTCCACCTTCCCAGAGGAGAGAGGAGAAAGTCAGCCACGACCCTGGGGGGAGGCTGAGAGAGCCACCCCACACCCTGAAACCCCCCGACCTCCCTGGGAGAGCCACCCCACACCCTGAAACCCCCCGACCTCCCTGGGCTGAGCCCCTCCTGCACACAGCGATGCTCCATCTCCCCGGGAGGGACCTGCTGCTCTGCCCAGCCAATCTCATTTGCCAGGCCTAATGCACGGCACAACCACAATTAGCAAAGCAGGAAAATCTCTGATGGCACCTTCTGCCGGGTTCAGATCAGCTCAAGTGTTGGGCTGGGCTCTGCAGGCAGTGATTCCCGGCTTGGGCTGAGAGTCAGCAGCGAGGGGGACAAGGGGGTGACCAGGGAGCACACGGGGCTTTCACAAATGGGTGCTCAGGGAAGCTGGGAGAGGCCAAACCCCGCTGGGTTCAAGCGAGATCAAGGTGCTTCTTAGCACAGCACAAAGTCTAAAGCTCTGCAGAGCTCACACTGCAACAGCCAGGGATGGGAGCACTGCGGGTGACAGTCCCTGCCTGTTCCCAGCTCCTGCCCAGCCCAGAGGCTTCTCACACTCCCCAGCACGATCCCTCGGGCCCCAGGAGGTGGGTGCTGCAGGGTTTGGGGGGTACCTTTGTGCAGGGCCGTGCGGGCCGTGACTTTGGGGTCCCCGGGCGCCGGGCGCTCCCGTCCCGCTGGGCCTCGCAGCTCGGAGGCGACGGAGAGAGGAGCAGCTTCTTCAGCTGCAAAGAGAAGGGGCAAGAAAAGGAGTCGGCATCGCAGCGAGGGCTCACGGGGAGAGCACATCCATCCAAAAATGGGGACAAAAAATAGCGGGCAGGGAGGGTTAGGGTTAGTGTTTCCCACCTCCTCGTGGCTGTGGGGCAGGTGCCTGGCTGTGCACAGCCCTGTGGGGCCGGGGCTGTCCCCACAGCGTTCAGCCCAGGGACCCCCAGGCGGGCTGGGGCAGTGGGGACAGGAGGGAATTGACTTCCCAGGGCCAGCCCCACTGGTGTCAGACACACAGGAGCTGCCGTGGCATCCCAGCTTCTCACTCCATCAGTTGTGCCCTGAGGTGACAGAGGCTTTACACTGGTGTGAGTGATGGGTTTGGACAGCTCGCTCGAGTCCCCGTGCGAGGCTCATTTAGCCAAAACATCCTCGACTCATTAACGAGCTCTCAAGGCGTTTTGCAGATGCAAATCCCGGTGGGACCTGCCGAGGATGTCCCCCATCACCGTGTCCATGGGCACTGCGGGGTTTTCCCCCCGGTCACCCTCTGACGGCAGGGTCAGCACAACATTTCCCTTCTACTCAACCCCAATTTTGATCGGGGGGGAGTGGAAAAAAACCAAAAAAACCCAGACCCCACACCCAGCAACATTTGTGATCGTGCCCATGCGGCGCTAACAACCGGAGGTGACAACAGCTCAACAGCAAGACGACTGCGTAGGCACCGGGGACTGCAGGAGAGACAGATCTGGGGCTCTCGGGGGGCACAGAGCCCTTGGGGGGTTAGGGACTGATAGAAAAGGGGTGCCCGGGTCAGGGTCTGCCAGGAAATGCCAGCCGCAGCTTTAGGAGCGAGGCTCCTGTTGGTGGAAGCGCCCAGCACCCTTTCCCCCCCTCCCCTGCAACGTATACATCCTATATATACACATACAGGTCATGTGTGATATATACCCCTGCGCGGGGCGTGGGCGGTGGAAATGCACGCTGTCACCACTGGATGTCACTCCTCCCCTTGGCTGGGTTTTTGGGGACACCCCGGGAGCGGGCTGGGGGCTCTGGGCAGGACTGCGAGCCGCAGGAGGGAGCGGGCTGGGGGTCCTGGCCCAGGGAACCCCCCGGGGGGGGCAGGAAACGCTCCCACTCCATCCGGGCCAGGAAGGGGAGTGGGGCCGGAGCCCCAGTGTTGCAGGGAACCGAGAGGGATGCTCCTCCAGCCACCAAATCTGGAGGGGCTGGAGACCACGCAGCCCCCGAGGGGCTTTGGTGGGTCAAAGGCTCCCCCTGAAAGGCGAGGGAGGGCAGGGGCTGACACTCTGTGACAGCGGGGAGCTCGGCCCGGGGCAGAGCCAGGGGGAACAGCCAGCACTGGCCATGGCCACGGGGCTGGGATGAGCCAGGGAGAAGCCCGAGCAGCCCCACACCTGCAGGTGGGATTAAAAGCAGGTGTGGGTGTCCCAAAGCAGCCCCCCAGCCCTCTGCCACCCGCCCCCCACCCCGTCCAGAGATAGATTTGTATACACACAGCTCGTTCCCGTGAGGATGGTGATGGAGGTGACAGCAATGATGCAGAACATGTATACGTATACAATACAAGTATATGCTTTGGTATTGACGGTTAAAGAGAGTTTTAAGCCTAGAATGAAAAAATTCAGACCTTGGCTTCCTATCATACCCATGCAGCCGGCTTATCTGGGGCTCATCCAAATCCACCTTAAACAGTAGGAAGTGGGTTCTTACTAGAGACAGCTCATCACACTCGGGGGCCGGGGGCGGCCCCCCCGTGACCGGGGCGGTGGGTTTGGGGGAAGGGGCAGGTGAGGTGGTGGCAGAGTTGAGCGTGTCCCCCTCTTCCATAGTTCGGAAGGCAGCCAGGCCCATGTCATCTCCCTGTATATCATCCAAAGTCTCGGTGAGGGCTGCCAGCAGCGCTTCGTTCTCGCTGTCTATTATCTGAAAGGAGCAGGCAGAGAAGAAAGGGGGTGTTAGGATGGGCAGAGGGTCCTCGTGATGCTGGAGAGGGGACAGGGACCAGCAGAGCCACAGCAGCTCCCACACTCCCCAGTGACCCCACTGGGAGAGCTTTTCCCCAGCACAGCACTAGGATGGGATGAGGAGAGACCCCAAAAAGGAGCATCAGTCTGAACAACTGCGCCCCAGCAGGGAAAGGGTGAATCAGAGCATCTCTCCCAACAGCCCCTCCACCCCACCATGAGGCAAACAGCAGCAGATAAAGGATCTGTAAGGAAGAATGGCCCAAATCCTCCTGACTCTGCAAGTGCAGAGCTGTGAGCTCAGCCAGCGCTGCCCAGTGGACAAGAGGGCACAGCCTCCCAGGAGGGCACGGGGGAAGCTCTGCCCACTGGCCAGATGCCACAGCTTGTGTGTGTGGCAACAAACAAACAACTACTCTGAGTTTTGTGTTCACTAAAAGCCCCCAAACACAGGTACCTCCAGCTCTTCAGGGGCTCCCACACTTAAAGCTGCTGCACCCAGTGCTGTGTGAGAGACCCTGTCCAGAGCACAGCCCCAGCCACTCCCAAATCTGCCATCAGCATCCCCAGGTCACACTGTTCACCCAAAAACCCGCTCAGGGGAGCGGTAGTGCGAGGCCCATCTCTCTCTGGGCCAGGCAGGGCCAGGGGCTGCTCCTGCCTCCTCCCTGCCCACTGCTCCAGCTTGACTTGGGTCCCTCTTTCCATCTGGGCTTTGGCTTTGTGATGCACCTCCAGCCTTCCCAGTGCCCTCCCGGTCCCATCCGGCCCCACGAGCTCCCTTCCAGTCTGGCAATACAGTGCTGAAGCCCAGAATAGGATGCAGAAGCTGAGGAATGGCTGGAGTGAGCCAGAAGTTCCTTCTTTTTGGTCCTCCTCCATCATAATCTGAATGTAAACCGTGTCCAACGGGAAGCAGGCTACCATCAGCAGTAAAATTAGCACGGGGGTAAAGTCAGGCTCACAGGCAGGACTGCACACAGCCTCCTGTGTTTCTCTCCTCTTGTTTGAAAATTAAACATCTTTTGTTCCATGCCCTAACCTTGCTCGCAGTTACTGGAGCAGGCTCCAGGGAAAGGCAGCAGGATGCTCCATTTTTGGCTCCGTTTCTTTTCCTCCTGTTATTGGCACGAGATTGCTGTGCATACAAGTTCAGTGGGATACATTTCATCATACTCCACTGCTCCTCATCGGCCTGGCTTTTGCATTTCTTTTCTGTTTATCTTTTCCCCAGGAAGTTCATGGAAAATATGCATCTCGTGATGAAGGTCCCTCAGCTGGACTGGACCATTTTCAAGCACAGCATCAGCCCAGCACAAGAGCCAGAGGGTTGTTATTATGGGCAGGTTAGAAAATATTGAGGCTTTTTTTTTTTTTTTATATATCTCCTTGTTTAAATATAAATCATCCTCCTCCCAAAATGTAACCCAGGGTTGGTGATTAGCTGGTACCTGTGGCTCACAACCTCCTTGTGCAAGGGGGTGAAGGCCTGGGCGCTGCTCAGGAGGGCACAGAGCCGCCAGCCCCAAGGACAGGCACATCCAGGGCATGGCACGAGCTTTGGGCAGGGCGAGGGGGCTGCCCAACCTGCTCTGTGCCCGGTGCCCTCTGACCTCCCTGCTCCAGCCTGTGTGTGCTGTGCCCTGCCCTGCCCTCACAGCTCCAGGGATGATCAGAGACAGGAGCAGAGGGACATGGAGCCCTGGGCCAGCACTGCCACGGATCTGAGCAGAGGAAGCAGCCCCTGTGCCAAAGGGACCCCAGTCCCACGCAGAGGGGGCTGCCAGAGCTGGGAAAACAGAGGAAGGGGCTGCTTTGTGCTCCTGGAAAGGGAATTTTTCCAGTGCTGAGACCCCCGCACTGCCGCCCTGGCATTCCGGGAATGGAACAGGACACGCTGCACCCCGGCTGCAATTCCCTGTGAATAATCCAGCACAGGAGGGCTGGCTCAGCATCCTCCTCCTCCTCCTCCTCCTCCTCCTCCTCATTAGCCTTACTCCACTTGCCCCATTTAGAGCCGGTGCACAAATTAATGGAGCACTAATCAGCTGGGGAGGAGATATTAATAGTTATGTGTGTTCCCTCCTCCCACCCTCCTTCTCCCCCTGCCTGCACCCTCGGGGGGTTGGGGGTACCTGGAAGAGCTCGGAGTCGTCGGTGCTGTACTGGCTGGAGTCGGTCTCCGAGTGCTCCCCGCCCCACTGCAGCTCGCTGAAGCAGCCGGCAGAGTCCAGGTCTCCGGCGTCCAGCTGGGACAGATCGATCTCGGGGAAGTCAGAGTAGAGATGCTCCTCGCCAGACACCTCATACTGCACACAGGGAAGCACAGAAAGGGCTGAGCCCAGCGGTAAAGGCAGCAGCATCGCCCCACGTGCGCCCAGTGATGCCAGCCCTGCTCCAAGGCCCCTTCCTGGCTCCAGGAGCGGTGCCACGGCGCTGGCAGGGTGTGCTGGGCACCTCTTCACCCACTGGTTCTGCCACTGGTCACTGTGAGCAGCCCCACAGCTGCCACCAAACCCCCCCTGGAACAGCAGGACCTGCATGGGAAGAGCCTCGTCTCTCCCAGCGAGGGCTCGGCACAGCACAGCCACCCGCGGCTCCCAGGGCAACTCCTGCCCCTGCTGCCCTAAAAGTGACATCCAGGTGGCCTGAGGATCAGCACAGGAGGCCTGGGACAGCAGCACACAGGGCCAGCCTCACACCTGTCCCCACCACACAGCCCTGAATCACCCAGGACATCCCTCTGGGGAAGCTGCACATCCCAAAGCGCCGCCAAGGCAACCCAGACCCTGCTCCCTGCCCCGTGCGTGGAAATGAGAGGATGCCTGAGAGCACATGGGGGATGTGAGCTGCAGGAGCTGAGCTAAAAATCTCCATTTAACCACAGAAAGGAGCTGGCACCTGCCCCACTTGGGCCTGGCTTCCAGCCACGGAACCCCACGGCAGCACCCAGCACCCGCTGCCTGCCCTGGCATTTGCACCGTGCCTGGTTTTGCCTCGGTGTCCAGGCTAAAACACGGAGGGGAAAGGTCTGCTGCGACTCCTCCCAGCACTGGCTGCCCAAGGGGAGTTTTCTGGCAGTGAGGGAAGCAAGTTTATTTACAGAGCAAATGGATTTTGGAGCAGGCAAACATCTGAGCATGTGAGAGAGGCTGCAGGGGAGCGTGGGGGCCCCTCCTCCTGAAGCACCCTGGAAGGGTCTCCTCCGTCACTCAGTGGGAAGGAAAAGGGATTTCAAACCCAGCTGCAGGGATGGAAAAGACAGCTTTTCTCTCTTTCTCATTTTTTGTTTTTCAAATTGGGATAATCTGGGATTACTGACAGTGTTCCCCCAGGCTGAGGAGCTGGTCTGCCACCACATCCAGGACACTCCAAAGGACACTCCCGTGCACACACTCACTCCCACTTTGCATTTCTCACCTGCTTCCCACCCTGACCAATCCCAGGGGAGGTGGAAACAGGGAGAGCACCTTGGAGGGCACAGCAAGGGCAGGGGAGAGTGGTTTTATGGCCTGAGGGTGCCATGCCCAGGGCCTGCAGTGGGGCTGGGGGACACAGGGAGCTGCTGCTGCTGCCCCAAAGCCCTGGGAGCTCTCCCAGGACCCTTCACCTTTTTGCTGGAAGGATGTTTATCAGGTAGATACCACAAGTGTGGTGCCACAAAGTGTATCAAGCATCCCTGAGTGGCTCTGGAAGCAGATACTCCTCACTGGGCCCCCAGGATGGGATTTTCTAACCTGCCCTGCAAAAACCTTTGTTCCCAGGTGTCAGAGCGCATGCAGCAGGTCAGGAGTGTCCCCACTGCCAGCTCTGGGGGACACAGATGCTGCCCTTCCCCTTCTTCTGTCCCCTCTGCTCTGGGATCAGATGTGCTTCGGCCTTTCAGATGTGTCCCTTACCTGCTGTGGCTTGTCCCTGCCTTCCTGTCCCTGCTCTAGCACCTGCTCCAGAAAAAAGTCTTGTGACAACTTTGTCTCCCCCTTCTCCCCCAAATCTTCCCATGGGAACACAGGCAAAGGCTTTTATTTTTAGCCAAGCCATACATACATAGATATACGTGTGTCTGTGTGTGCGTGTGTGCGTGCAATTAAAAATAGCAGAGCAGCCAAATTCTCCTGCTCCTTTTGATATGCCACAAGGGAAAAGATCCTGGTGCTGAGATCACAAGGAGCAGCTGACACCAGTGCTCGGGATGTCTTTTGATCAACTCCACAGATGTGACATGTCCCCATTGGCAACAGGGCTGGGTAAAAATAAACTCCTGCAATCTAAAGCTGCTGAGCTGCCCTCCCTGGGCACTCCAGGGCAGCACTGCCTCGCCACTGCCACGCCGGGGATGCTCCCAGCTTCCTGCTACAGCTCAGGAATGCCCAAAACTCAGCTCTGAATTGAGCCTCCTCCTCCTGGAAAACCACGGGGACAGCCTTTGCTGAGTGGGGTCACCCATTCTGGCACCTGGATGGGCACCCAGCACTCCAAGCAGTGCTGGCAGTGTCATGTACCCAGCCCAGGCACCCAGGACCTGGGGCTCCAGAGGGAGCCCATCACTCCCAGCTCAGAACCCTGAGCAGCACTGAACCCCTCTGGGCTGCCCACAGAGGTGGGGAAGGGTCCAGGCCCCTGCCCGTGGCAGCAGCCGTGGGGAGGCTGCCTGTGGGCACGGGACCTCATCTGCTCCCACTCTCCCTTTTCCCACCCTTTTGCACTTCCTGCTGCCTTGGGAGAGGAGTGAACTTTTGTTCTAATTTTACTCGGGACTTTGTAGGAAGATCAGCCATGGGTTCTTGGTGTGCAGCCAGCAAACACCCATGGAGACATGCTCAGAAATTCGGAGGCATCCTCCAGCCCAGACACCTGGCCCGGGTGTGCTGCAGCAAGGCTGCGACCAGAGAGCTGCAGGCGGCGTCTGACGGATCCCTGCTCCAGGAGGAGAGCTCCTGCTGGCTCCTTGGTCAGCATCCCTTGGTCTCCTGGCAATGGAAGAGCTCCTGGGTGCTCTGGGGCTGCCACCACTGCTCCCACTCCCTGTCCCTTTGCAATGTCCCCAGCCTGTCCTTCCCAGGGCAGCGGTGGCACGAGGAGCTGGCACAGGGCTTAGATCCATCTTCCTGCCCACCTGTGAGGGTATTCAGTGCAGGACACTGTCTCTGGTGTCCCCAGAGGCTCTGGGGACACGTCCTGGGCTGGAGCCACATCCAAGGATGACATCCTGGGGACAGCAGGTGGGACACGTCCCTTTCAGTCCTTCTGGTTTGGAGCAGTGTGAACTCTGGCACGTGAGCTCTTTATCTCTGAGGAGACACGAGCCTCCTCCCCAGGCCCAACTCAAATTCAAACACTGGATTAACAAGACAGGAAATGTTTTCCTCTTTTTCAGCGTCAACTTGTGCTCCCCAAACTAAACCCCGCAGTCAGCAGGACTGGAGAGGCTGGCTGGGGTCAGGCTGCTGGCTCCTGGGGACAGCTGTGGCCACGAGCCCAGGGAGAGCAGGAACAGCCCTGCTGCCAGGAAAGAGCAACCTGAGCCAGGGCAAGCAAGGGCTCAGCTCATTGTCTGCCTCAGGGAGCCGGGGACAGCGCAGTGACCGTGACAGGGAGACCTGCAGGTGCTCTCCTCTGTCTCACTCCAACAACAGCACCGGTAGAAATTGCCCTTATCTGCAGAACCCCCGGGTCCAGCCCCTTGAAGTCACGGCCAAGTGTTTTGGGCTGCGGGCACACGGGGTGATGGCACACCAGGGCTTGTGCTTGCTCAGCCTGCACTGGGGCAGCCTCTGAAGAGCTGCCAGCAGCACCTTCCAGGAGCCTCATCCTGCACTGCCTGCACGGGGTGCTCTGCATGGCCCTGCCGCTCTTGGAACAAAGGGGAGAGGCAGCACCTCGAGGGGCCACAGGCAGCCCACTCCTCACCAGGGAGCAAATGGTGACTCAGCTCCTCCCTGCACAGCCCAGAGCCTACCCAAAGCATTAAGGGATAAATATACATCCACACGTGCTGCAGACACAGCCCCAAATGAGCCAGGGTGTTCAGGCTGGGACCCAAAGCAGCAGAAGGTGAGAAATGCCAAGAACACCAAGTGCTGCTCCCACCAGCCCTCCCTCGGCCCCACGGGGAGCTTCTCCCTCCTCGCCCTCACCCGGGCCTGACTCGAAAAAGGAAAGAAAATCTTTGGGCAGGGGTTTTGCAGAGAGTCGTCTGGGCTTATCAGGGAAATCCATAATCACAGACTGCTTCAAACGGGGATTACAGCCCTGCAGGGAAACTGCGGGCTGCTCCGCACGACGGGCTGGCACTGGGCAGGTGGCACTGGGGTGGAACTGGTGTGACACTGGTGTGGTACTGGTGTGGTACTGATGTGACACTGGTTGGTGTGACACTCTGGTTGATGTGGCACTGGTTGATGTGACACTGGTTGATGTGACACTCTGGTTGGTGTGGCACTGGTTGGTGTGGCACTGGTTGATGTGACACTGGTTGATGTGGCACTGGTTGGTGTGGCACTGGCTGGTGTGACACTCTGGTTGATGTGGCACTGGTTGGTGTGACACTCTGGTTGATGTGGCACTGGTTGATGTGGCACTGGTTGATGTGGCACT